GATGATGATGATGATGATGGAGATGACAATGTCGAAAAAAGCAATTCTGAAGATGAAGACGATTAAGATGGAGATGAAGATGAGAGTGGCGAAGATGACGACGATGATGATAAAGATGACAGTTGCGAGGACAACGATAATGACAATAAAGACGACAGTGGAGAAGACGACGACGATGACGATGAAGATGGCAGTGGCGAAGATGACTATGATGACAATGAAGACGACAGTGGAGGAGACGACGATGATGATGACGATGAAGATGACAGTGGCAAAGATGACGATAATGACAATGAAGACGACAGTGGAGAAGACGACTACGACGATGGTGAAGATGACAGTGGCGAAAATGATGATGATGGCGGTGTAGATAGCAGTGGTGAAGATGAGGATGATGACGATGATGACAACGAAGATAACAGCCGTGAAGATGATGAGGATGAGGATGATTACCATTAAGGTGACATTAACGAAGTGGACGATGATGGCGATAGCGATTACAATCGTGAAGGTGATTATGATGACAATAATTATGATGGTGACGATGAAGATGGCATTGGTGGAGATGATGATGCTGACGATATAAATGATAGTGACGAAGGTAGCGATGATGACGATGGAGATGACACTGGCGAGGAAAGCGATAAAGAGGATGGAGATGATAGTGCCGAAGACAACGGTGAAGAGGAGGTAGACGAAGAAGACGATAAATATGACAGAGGCGACGAGACACATGACGATGACGACGATAACGACGATAACGACGATAACGACGATGAGGATGACAGTGGGGAAGACGACGACGATGATGATGAAGATGACAGTGGGGAAGATGACAACGATGACGATGAAGACGACAGTGGCGAAGATGACGCTGATGGCGATGGAAGTGACAGCAGTGAGGTCAACGATGAGGATAACAAAGATGACATTGGTGAGAACGATAATGATGACGATGAAGATGACAGTGGTGATATTGATGAAGATGACGATGGAGTTGACGTTTATGATGATGGAGATGAAATTGACGAGGAAAGCCATGATGAAAATGAAAACGATAACATAGAGCCACTTTATTTATTTTGCCAAGTAGCGCATTACCAGTTAAGACAGAAGGCAAAAAGGCCAGCTTGGTCATGAAAAGATCATACGTAGTCCTTATGAACAATATCGCGATTCAGAGTAGTGAAAATAAAAAAAAAAGTTAGAAGAGGAGAAAATACAGTGCAAACATGCGTTACTGTGTCTCAGTGTTGTATCTCTCCCCTTGTATCGTTAGAACGAAAATTGGGAAAAAACTCGCCTACTTTTGTTTTGTTTTGACTGATTTCAGGTAGATGCTTTTTACCCAAAGTTCCTGGGCCGCGTAAAGCATCTTTTCCGAACTATTATTATAACCTCAAAACTGGAAAGTGCGAGAAGTTTATCTACGGTGATTGCTTGGGAAATGCAAACCGTTTTGGCGACTTCGACGACTGCACCAAAACATGTCTAGTAAGTGTTTGTTTCTTTTTTGCCTATACAGTGAAACCTTTATTAAGCGGACACCCTCGATCGGGACTTTCCCAAGTGTCTGCTTAATAGAGGGTGTCCGCTAATAAAGGTTTATAACAATTGCGCAGTGTTTGTCAACAATTAACATTCAGCAGTTCCTCTGTACTGTAATAAAGTTCCAGGTTGTTAACAAAGCTATTCAGGGTTCAAGTTCGTCAGCTTTCATTACCAACTTTAATTTGTTTGCAATACTTCCCTTTCCATACAGCAGCGATAATACAGGTACATTTAATCGACTATTCCAAGGACATAATCCAATGCCGCATTGTCAATTCAGTCCGGTGTCCGCTTAATATAAGTTTTTAACAATAGAAATTAGCAAAATACAATTTATTAAGTGTCCGCGTGCGCTTAATAGAGATGTCCGCTGAACAGGGGTTCGTTATAAAGGGAAATATAACACGTTAATCTCGGGACCAGGGTAAGTGTCGCTTAATAAAAGGTATCCGCTTAATTGGGGGGTCCGCTTAATAGAGGTTTCACTGTATGCAGAATACCAGTTGATAACCGAGGTATTGTACTTGGCTTTGGGCACTCTCCATTTACTAGCAACACTTGGAACGTGACTTCGTTTCTGACTCCATCGACTGTAGTTTTAGGTAGATAGTAAAATGTCAAAATAAAAATAAAAAAAATAACAGGTCTTTAGACTGCTGATATCGCATTCGTTGTAACATAAAGCAGAGACTAAGTTATGTAACAGAGAATATTAGGAAACATCCCCAAGAAAACACGCGCGCTAATTGGTTAAAAATAGTGTTTCTAAAACTCGATAGAAACACAGAACTAGCACGAACTGTTGACGTAATGATGGCGCGAGCAAAGCGAATTTACATTTTGATGATCAAAGTTAACAATTTGTTTGTCTTTGTTTTCCTCGCGGTGTTTTCTAAAAGAAATAGAAAACATGTTCTCCGTGTTTCGATCGAGTAATAGAAACACTTGTGAAAGTTTGGGAGAACTCGAAAAAGTTGGAGAAACACTCGCCTACGGCTCGTGTTCCACAGCATTTCTCGTTCTCCCAAACTTCCACTTGTGTTTTTATAACTCGATAGATACACGGTACATGTTTTCTATTTCTTAATTGGCATTACAAGGGTTTTGTTTAATGATTTTTGGTAGTGAAAAACGTAAGGTCTTCAAATAATCGAGAGATAGTAAAACTGCATAAAACTGCATCTTATATATATATATATTGCACCTTAAATTTATACTTTCTTCATTGTTTTCCTGTCTTTGGCATGCAATCAATTCCTGACCGTGGATATCGAGCCATTATGCTTTCTACCAAAAAGGGTAGGACCTTGCACCCGCGCCTCCTCCGGTATTTCTACAACAAATATACTCGGAAATGTGGGCGTTTTTATTACGGCTGTTGTATTGGTAACCAGAACACCTTCCTGTCACTTGAGAAATGCAAAAGCAAGTGTTTTGGTAGGTATAATTAACACTAAATTTAATCTAGCAATGTGCGATGGAGAACAAGTGTTCAAATCTTCCCCAGTAGCAAAGAAAAAAAAAAATTAGAGTTGATCATGTTTGAAAACATGGGAATGGAGACAAATGCAACGTAAATGCTACGCTCAAAATTGTTTTTTTTTGGCCAAAGATTACCTTGTATATTATTATTATTATTATTATTATTATTATTGCTATTAGTATCATTATTATTATTATTATTATTGTTATTATTATCATTATTACAAGTAACAAGGCGCACGCACCGACCGTAGACTAAACTGTATGTACATTGTAACAAATAACTCGATACAGGTATTCTCGAATTCATTTAAGTGTTGGGCGGTGTGTTATTTTGTAATCCACCACATATTTTCGAACGCGCACAATTGGTCTAATCATTTAACGTGACTGAATATGCCTCAGCTCAGCTAAAACTGGGGAATATCCAAGTGATATTCCCCAATTTTCAAAACCGTTCGTGTTGCAAAATATATTCGACGTATAATAAACACGATGGCCTCCATTTGACGCGAAATATGTTCGGGTATTTATTCCTTGGAAGTAATCTGTCCCTAAAAGCTCACAGTTTTCCTCGAGGTACGCTCTCGGAAAACTGTTTGCTTCTCGGA